CATTTGTTTGCTTTTCTCAGACGTCTGATATCAGTTTCCTGTGGGCTTCCCACTCCTTGGAACTGAAAGCATCTTAATTGACACAGTGAGGAAATGTGTGTAAAGCATCTGCCTGGAACAGACGCTCAATGACTTTGTTATCACAGAGATCATTACCCGGCCTCGCGACCACGGCAACGTGGCAAAATAGTGTCGGACACTGTTGGCACACAAACATCGCTGTTCTCCAGAATGCAACCCGGGGGACGGCAGGGAAGAGGATGGTCGGTCACCCAGCAAGGCAGCTCTGGCCCAGGCCGGGGCCGGGTGACCACTCTGAGCCTCTGATTGGCCAAACCCTCTGGCCTAGTTATGGGGCATCTTCAAAAATATTCCTGTTTCCCTTTGCACTATATAACTGATTTTTCTGTAGTTTCTGTTAATAAGTGTCAGGAAAGTGCAGGCAGAGAAACTTTGCCTTCAGTTTTTTAATTTGGAGTCAGTTTGGGGGTGAGGAAGTGGATCAGGAAGAATGAAGAAACAGACTTCTCTCTGTGGGGTCAGCAGCTCCCTCCATCTGCCTCGCTTCTCTGGACTCCTGGAGTCAACACACATCTGAACAGGGTCTGCAGCTCAGCCCACAGGAGGCTGGAGGGAGGTTCCCACCTCCTTATCATAGCAGAACATCTGAATCTTTCTGAGACGTCTTCTGGTCATTCTGGGGGGTGTGGGCACACACCTCCCTTTTCCAGTAGGTAGTGGGGACCATCCCAGCCCTCTACCAGGTTGATACCTCTGCCATTCTCACCTGAGGCTGCTGGGTCAGGTTGGCCCTCTCTCTTTCGGAAAGCTCTGGAGGGAAGTGGCTAGCTCTGCAAGTGGCCACTTTTCATTCATTTTTTTCCTGCTGACCTCAGGGGGAGCAAGAGGATTGCAGGCCAGGAGGAGGGGATCCCAGCAGCAGGAGCAGGAGGGTGGGTAGGAGGGGATTAGGGAGACAGGGCCCCAGCTGAGCTCATGAAGGGCAGTGGAAGGGGACCCCCACACAGGGCAGAGAGAGGTGAGGGCCAACCCAGGTTGCAGCAGACACAGTGCCCCATGTGCAGACACTGCTGTGTGTTCACCTGACCCTGTTCTCTTTGCACCTCAACACACTGTTAAACACATTCACAGCCTCCCCAGGGTCAGGTGGGGCAGTGGGACCAAGTTCTGGGAGGTCAAGAGTGATCTTCTGTCCTGGTCAATAAAACCCTTTTGCCTCATCTCTAATCTGGCTCTCTGATCTGTGGCTGAGCTTGGCAGCTTCAGAGGGTGGAAGGATGCCTGGTCTGAGAATGTCTGGAAGAAACAGAGCTTCCCTGCCCTCCAGGCCCACCTGTGATTAGACAAACGCACAAGGAAAACTGATAAGAGAGAGCCGGCCACTGGGAATGCTGTTTGTTGGTAGTGATAACAGTTGTTGCCGCCCCAACACCCAACATTTTCCTGCAATTAGCCTTTGCTGACTAATCAATTCTGTTGTGCAACTATTTATAAATTCCTTCATAGTGGGCCAGCATTAATAAGTTTTACTGATTGTACCAAACAGAAATTAATGCAATTTTCATGAAGGGCAATTCAACAATTTACATTAATAGC